CAAGGCACAACGTACCAGGCACTGAACACAAATATATTCACGATATTAATAACCCCAAATAAAGGTGACCACCCGAATTAAGAGAATTAGGGGATAAGGAGAAAAGAAGAGAAAAAGATAAAAGAGAAAAAAGAAAAGAAAAGAAAAATAAGAAAGAAAAAAAAGGAGTGCAAAAATGAAATTGGGGGGAAAAAAGAGGGGGGAAAAAAGAAAAAGAAAAAAAAGAGCGAAAAGAGAGAATGAAGTAGAAGAGGGGAAGAGACTATTTGTATGGGGCAGGGACTCTGAAGTTGGGCCAAGACCCACCCCTGTGCCCACTACAGCCTCGCAGCCCACAGTTCCTTTCAAGGTGCACGAATTCATGCACTGAGCCCCTAGTATGCAAATAAGTTCCTTTAAGAGAAACTTCCTGGATTTTCAGCAGCCTCCATGTCACTCAGCCACAATCCCTGCTGCTTTTTACAGCCTAAAGTTATGAGGACTTCTCTTCCCAGCTCAGGAACCCTGGGTTGGGGGTCTGGTATGGGTCTGGGATCTCTGCAGCTGAGATCCCTACTGTAGAAAAAAAACACCACACCTGGGTGTTGAACTAACCTTTTATGTGCCTCCGCCCCTCCTACCAGTCTCAATGTACTCTCATCTTTACTTCTCTAGCTGTAGGACTTCCATTCAGCCAGCTTTCAGGTGGTTCTGAATCATGGTTGCTCTATATTTTAGTTGTAATTTTGATGAGGTTGTGGGAGGCGGTGAGTACAGGTGCTTACTTATGCCACTATCTTGATACTCTGCTCTGTTTTAAGGTACTTTTCATTTCTTGTGTGATTTGATCTTGATCCATTAGTTGTTTAGTAGCATGTTGTTTAGTCTCCACATACTTGTTTTCATTCCAGTTTTCTTCCTGTAGTTGATGTCTAGTTTTGCACCATTGTGATTGGAAAAGGTGCTTGATATAATCTCTATCTTCTGAAGTGTTTTGAGGCTGTCTTGTGGTCTAATAAGTGATCTATCCTAGAGAATGTTCTAGGTGCACTTGAAAAAAAATGTGTATTATGCAGTTAGGGGATGAAATGTTCCATAAATATCTATTAAGCCAATATCATCTTATGTGACATTTTAAGCCATTCATTACTTTTAATTTTCTGTCTGGATGATCTATCCATTGATGTGAGTGTGGTATTAAAATCCCCTACTATTATTGTATTACTTTGGATTTCTCACTTTATGTCCATTGATAATTGCATTATATATCCAGGTGCTCCTATGTTAGGTGTGCAGATATTTACAAATGTTACATTCTGTTCTTAGATTGATCTCTTTATCATTATGTAATGTCCTTGCCTTTCTTTACATTTTTTTTTGTTTTAAAGTCTACTTTGTCTGATATAAGCATCACTACCTCAGCTTCCTTTTCATTTCTATTGGCATGGAATATCTTTTTCCATCCCTTCATTTTCCCACTATATGTGTCTTTGAAGTGCCTCTTATAAGCAGCTTGTAGATAGGACATAATTTTTAATCTTTACAGCTAACCTATGTCTTTTTTTTTTAATCTTCACATGAGGATATGTTTATTGATTGTAGAGAGAGAGGGAGGAGGTGAGGTAGGGGGAGGGAGAGAGGGAGAAGGAGAAGGAGAAGGAGAGGGAGAGGGAGAGGGAGAGGGAAAGAGAGAGGGAGAGGGAGAGGGAGAGGGAGAGACATCTATGTGTGAGAGAACATAGATCATCTGTTGCCTCCCATATGGGCCCCAGTTAGGGATCACACCTGCAACCTTTTCATGCACAGGACAACACTCTAACCAACTGAGCCACCTGGCTAGGGCCACCTTATGTCTTTCTATTGGAGCATTAAATCCATTTTCATTAAAGTAATTATTGATAAGTATTTACCTATTACCATTTTGTTAATAGTTTTTTGGTGTTCTTATACTTCTCCTCTGTTTCTTTCTTCTTTTCTTGATCTCTTCCCTAGTGGTTTGCTGTTTTTCTTTAGTGTTTGGTGTGTATTCCTTCCTCTTAGTTCTTTATATATCTTTTCTACGGTTTTAGTTTCTGGTCATCATAAGGTTTACGTATATAATTCTATATCTGTAGCAGTCTATTTTAAGATAATATGCATTTAAATTCAAGTATATTGTATAAGAATTAAATTTTCACTCCCTCCTCTATGTTTTATGTTATTGGTGCCATGTTTTAGATATTTTTGTATTGTGTATCCCCTAATTACTTATTGTATTTTGAGTTGAGTTACATACATTTTTTCCTTTTTACCTTTGTAGTAGCTTTTAAAATGTCTAATACGATGTCTTTATTAATATTTGGCTTTACCTGTGGAGTTTTTATTCCTTTCTCATATTTTCTTATTTCTGGTTATGGCCTTTCCTTTTCTACTTAGAGGAGACCCTTTAAGTGGAAATAAAACAGAAGACTTGAAAAAACAAGGTCATTGATAGTGCTTATAATCATAAAACAGATATTAAAGCCACTTGTTTACAAATAAGATCATCTATATTTACTTTTTCCACTTCCATCCAAATGGTCTGAATGTTAATCAAATGTATTTACTTTGGGAGTGTGGATTATATTTTAACTTTCTAATTGATTTCCCTTTGCACGTAAGCATGAGCCATGGTAAAGGGATCAGTGATTTGAAAAGAAGCCTGTGTGCCACCAGGATGCCGATGAAGTGGATTTCAGTTCTGCTGCTGCTACAGCTGAGTGGTCACTTCAGCCCTGGGAGTTGTGGAAAGGTGCTGGTGTGGCCCACAGAATACAGCCATTGGATCAACATGAAGACCATCCTGGATGCACTTGTCCAGAGAGGTCATGAAGTGACTGTTCTGACATCTTCAGCTTCAATTCTTGTTGATCCCAATAAACCATCTGCTATTCAATTTGAGGTTTTTCCTACATCTTTAACAAAAGATGATTTTGAGAATCTTTTCATGGGGCTGATCTCTAAGTGGTCATATATGCCTAAAGATACATTTTGGACTTATTTTTCACTAATGAAAGATATCATTTGGGAATATACTGATTGTGTTCAAACACTATGTAAAGATGTAGTTTTGAACAAGAAACTTATGACAAAGCTACAGGAATCAAGGTTTGATGTCGTTCTTGCAGATGCCATTGGACCCTGTGGTGAGCTGCTGGCTGAGCTACTTAAAATACCTTTTGTGTACAGTCTCCGCTTCTCTCCTGGCTATACAATTGAAAAGTACAGTGGAGGACTTCCATTCCCTCCATCCTACGTACCTGTTGTCTTGTCTGAATTAAGTGATCAAATGACATTCATGGAGCGAGTAAAAAATATGATTTACATGCTTTATTTTGACTTCTGGTTCCAAACATATAATCAGAAGAAGTGGGATCAGTTTTATAGTGATGTACTAGGTAAGTCATGTTTTAATTGATAGCTTGAAACCCAAACTTTGCTAATGCCATAGAAGGAGAGTTTGTACAAATATAAAGTCAGAGGAAATATCTTTTATAAGTAAAATGACTAAATAATAATATATAATGATATTTCAATCTCACAAATATTGTAGAAATGTTTAAATTATTAGGCCATTTTTAACCCTGTGATCCACTGTTAATACAGGAGATTTCAGGAAGTCAAAAACCACAAATTGAAGCACTGAGGAATTCTAGAAGCCATTATACCAATTCTTTGTCTGTTTGTAATATAATTTATTTTTTATTCTTTTTTCTGGGTAAAGTGTTTTATTCTTTGTTTTTTCTTAAATATAATGTCAAAATATTGCCCATCCTACACTTATTGTTAGAGAACTTTTAAGTTCACAGCAATATTGAGTAAGATTTCCCATATAACCTCTGCCCCCACACATGTATAGACTCCCTCATTTTCAACATATCACACCTGAGGGATACATTTGCTACAATCGTTGAACCTAGAGTGGCACATTGCTATGCTCCAAAGACCACAGTTCATGTTGGAGTTCACTCATGGTGTTACATATTCCATGGGTTTTAACAAATTTATAATGACATGTATTATATAGAGTGATTTCACTATCCTAAAAATTCTCTGTGCTGTACTTATTTCCAAAATACCCATTACACTATGATTTTTCAACCTAAAAAATAGGCATTAGAAATTTCACTAAATATCTTGATCAAAGCAGAAAAGTAGATTGAGATGTTACTTTACTTCTAGCACAGCTGTCTATTGAGCTTTGACATCATTGTTTCCACTTGTTCCTCCTCAGGTTCTTTATTTTAAAATTAACCTGTTTTGCCATGTTACCTAAAAAACTCTTTCATGATAGAGAGATATAATAACTCCAACCTGACTCAAGAACCTACAAATCAAAGTTTCTAATAACTACATATTCATTCACTCAGTGCTTACACTGTTTTAAAGGTCAAAAATTGTGTTGAAGTGTGGACAATCAAGTTATTGCTCTGTATTTGTAAAAACTGTATCTTTTCATTACTGACAAATGATCCAAAACTAAAGAGAACACATCTATTTTCCATATCTTATAAAAACTTTCCAGCTGTTATTTGCAAATATTATTATTAAATATATATAAATATACTTCAAAAACCTCACAGTTCTTAGAAAATCTAGTATTCAGGGAATAGCTTGCTAAATTGTAGAAACTAAGCTGAGTATTTATAAGGCAACGTGTTTCCATTGATAAATCGATTAGGGAGCTCAAATAATTGTGTATTTGCATCTGTTACTTTTGTAGTTTTACAAAGAAAACAAATATGTTTAATTCTATAGTGGCTTACATTTAATGGTTTATCATTGTGAATGTACTGATGTCATATCAGAGATAAAAAGTCTCTAGCGCTTTGTCTTATATATTTGAACATAAACATAAAACGTATAAATTTTATATATTTTATCACACATATGAGTATGTATACATATATACCATATACATAAACATTTATATTATCAAACCACAGACACTTTAAAGCATTTTGGCTACCTTATCCCAAGCCCCTTTCAGAAAATGTCCTAGTATAGTACTTACATTAAAATACTCTCATTTCCTCTACCTTCTGTTTGCTTTTCCCTTCAGGAAGACCCACTACATTATATGAGACAATGGAGAAAGCTGAAGTGTGGCTCATTCGAACCTATTGGGATTTTGAATTTCCTCGCCCAGTCTTACCACATTTCGATTTTGTTGGAGGACTCCACTGCAAGCCTGCCAAACCCCTGCCTAAGGTAAACCTATTCCTCTTTGTTTTCTTTTGAGGATATTCACTAGTATTCTACCTTAGGAGGAAGACAATGCCTCAACAATATGAATTGTGTTCCACCAATATTGGCAGCAAAACCCAACATTTACTTGCTGTCACTCCAACATTTAAAAAATTCCCCATTTTAGATCTGGTTTGTCATCCTAGCCCAAAAAGGGATTGCATAGCCTATTAAAGCAGGTGTTTTCTGACATTCACCAATTCTGCACAAAATCTCAGTAAAGATCCCTGGGGGAACATGGTTAGCGACATCACAGCTGACTGACAAAGTGAGCACAAATAAAATGTACACTGCACATATAATAAGAACCAAAAATCCTGCATATTTAATATACCAATTTCATCTGAAAATCACCTATAGTACAAAATTGCAAAATAATTATCAGCATGTAGGATATTCCTTATGAAGGAAGGCAATAATCTAATATGCTTTAAATTGATATAATATCTTTAAGACATAATTACAAAACAACCATCCTTTACTGAATTATTTTATTATCTACTAAGACATCCTGTTTGTCTACCATTTGATTGGCAGCAACATAAAACAGATCTCTTATTCAAGGGTTAACCCAATTTCTATTTAGACTTAAAAATGTTTAGCTACATGCCAATAACTTTCACAAGGTCTAAAGCCTGAGGTAAAATTAGTAGAAGTTCTATTCAATTCAACCCTATTGTTTTTCTAGCTGTATTGAGGTGTTATTGACATATATTTTATGAGATATTTATAGGGTACACTAGAGGCCTGATGCACAAAATTTATGCAAGAGTAGGCCTTGCTTCCCCCAGCTGCCAGCACCGGCTTCTCTCCGGCACCCGGGACCCAGGTTTCCCTCCAGCTGCCGGCAGGCACCTGGGACCCGGGCTTCCCTCGCAGCCCCAGCTTCATCCTGGATGACATCTGGTCTAATTAGCATATTATGCTTTTATTATTATAGTGATTTGATATACATATACATTGTGAAGGTATTCTGCTCATGTAATTAACACATCCATCACCTCACGTATTTATCTTCTTTTGTGTGTGTGAGAACAAGTCCTGCTCTCAGCATATTTCAATTATACAATACTGTGTTATCAATTCTAGTCACCAGGTTATACATTAGATCCTCAGACCTTTCATCTCATAGCTAGAAGTTTACAATCGCATATCAACATCTCCCTATTTCCTCCACCCCCAACCTCTGGCAACCACTTTTCTACTATTTTTCTATATTTGCCTCTTTTTTTTAGACTCCCTATATAAGTAATAGTATGCACTATTTGTCTTTCTCTGTCTGGCTTATTTAGCTTAGCATACTGCCCTCATGGTCCATTTATAATGTAACCAACAAACAATTTCCTTCTTTTTCATAGCTGAATAATATTCCTGTGTGTGTGTGTGTGTGTGTGTGTGTGTGTGTGTGTGTGTGTGTATCTTACTCATCTTTTGAGGGACACCAAGGTTGTTTCCATATATTGTCATTGTGAATAATGTGCAACAAACACAGAAGTACAGATATCTTTTCAATATCCTGTTTTAATTTCCTTTGGATATAGTATACCAGAACTGGGATTGCTGGATCATGTGATAGTTCTATTTTTAATTTTTTTGAGGAAACTCCACACTTTCTTCCATAATGGTTGTAACAATTTAAATTCCTACCAAAACTGTACATGTCTCCTTTTCCCCACATCCTTGCCAAATTTGTTATCTCTTGTCTTTTTGATGATAGGCATTCCACCGGATGTTAGGTGGTATCGCACTGTGGTTTCGATTTGCTTTTCCCTGATGATTAGTGATGCTGAACCCCTTTCCATGGACCTGTAGTCCTTTTGTATGTCTTTGGAAAATGTCTCTTCAGAGCTCTTCCCATTTTTTTAAAATATTTTATTGATTTTTACAGAGAGGAAGGGAGAGGGATAGAGAGTTAGAAACATCGATGAGAGAGAAACATCAATCAGCTACCTCTTGCACACCCCCTTCTGGGGATGTGCCCACAACCAAGGTACATGCCCTTGACTGGAATCGAACCTGGGACCCTTCAGTCCGCAGGCCAACACTCTATCCACTGAGCCTAACCGGTCAGGGCACTATTCCCATTTTTTATCTGAGATGTGTGAGTTCTCTACATATTTTGGATATTAACCCCTTATCAGATATATGATTTCCAAATATTTTATCCCATTCTGTACGCTGCATTTTAATTTTGTTGATGCTTTTCTTTATTGTGCAGAAGCTTTTAGTTTGAGGTACTCCCACCTGTTATTTTCAATTCTGCTTTTGGTGTGTACCCCCAAAAAATCATGGTCAAAACAAATATCAAGGATGTTTTCCTTTTTGGTAGCTTATTGTGAGTGTATAAATATACAATTGAGTTTTGAACATTGATTTTGAATCCTGGGACTTTACTTAATTTTTTTATTAATTCTAAAAGCTTTTAATGGAGTCTTTAGTGTTTTCTATATATATACTATCATGACATCCGTAAATAGGGTCCATTTTACTTCTTCCTTTCCAATTTGGATAACGTTTATTTCGTTTTGTTGTCTAACTGCTCTGACTAGAGCTCCAGGTAATATTTTGAATAAAAGTATCAAGAGTGGGCATCCTTGTCTTTTTGACTGTTCTTAGTGGAAAAGCTTTCTGTTTTTCATCATAGAGTATTTTAGCTTTGGGCTTGTCATAGATTGCCTTTACTTGGTTGTCGTCTTTCCCTGTATATACATGCTGTTGAAAGTTTCCATAATGATTGGATGTTGAATTTTTGTCAAATGCTATTTATCTCTCTTCAGGTCTGTTCATATTTGCTGTTCATTTAGGTGATCCTATGTTAGGTGTATAAGTATTTACAAATGCAATATCATCTTGTTGGATTGACCTTTTAATCATTATATTTCACTTTGTCTGTTGTGACCATTAGCTTAAAGAGTATTTTACTGGTATAAGTATAGCTACCCCTGCTTTTGTTATTACCATTTTCATGAAATACCTTCGCCATCCCTTCACTTTCAATCTATGTGTGTCCTTAAATCGGAAGTGAGTCTCTTCTAGGTAGCATACATTTGGGTCATATTTTCTTTAATTGTTGTAGACTCAATCACCTATGTATTTGGATTGTAGAATCTAGCCATTTACATTTAAAGTAAAATAAATAGATAAGTATGGACTTACTTTCATTATTTTTAACCTTTTTCTTGCTGTTTTGTACTTTTTTGTTCCTTTCTTCTCTTACTCTTATCCTTTGTGATTTGATAATTTTTACGGTGGTACGCTTAAATTCTTACTCTTTTTCTTTCTGTGTATCTACTATAGGTTATTACTTTGTAGTTGCCATAAGACTTACATAAAACTTCTTGTATTTATGAAAGTCTATTTTAAGCTAATAACAACTTAACTCTAAAGGCATGATAAAACTCTATATTTCTAATCTCTTCCACATATATTTTGGGTTTTTGTCACACTTTATATCCTTTCACCATTGTATTCATTAAAAATTTATTTTTAATACTTTTTTAAACCTAATAGTAGAGTTATAAATAATTTATCCACCACCATTATATTAGAGTATTCCTAATTTAACTATGTATTTACCATTACCAGTAGAGTTGTATTTTCCTATGTTTTCCTGTTACTTATTAGCACCCTTTCATCTCAACTTGAAGAATTCTTTTAACACTTCCTTTGAGGCTGGTCATAGTGGTCCTTTAGCTTTTGCTTGTCTGGAAGTTTTTTCTCTCTCATTGAATTCTGAAGGACAAGTTTATTGGGTAGAATATTATTTGTTGGCAATCTTTTCTTTCAGTACTATGAATATATCATGTCATTCATTCCCTTGCCCTCCAATGTTTCTGCTAAAAAAAATCTGCTGATAGGCTTAGGTTGTTCCCTTGTTTATGACCAGTTGTTTTTCTTTTGCTGCTTTTAAGATACTCTCCCTGTCTTTAACTTTTGACAATTATAGTGTGCGTTGGTGTAGCTTTCTTTGTATGCCTCTTATTTGGAACTCTCTGGGTTGTCTAGAAATGAATATCTGTTTCTTTCCTCAGGTTAGGTTTTCAGCCATCATTTCCTTAAATAACTCTTCTACCCCCTTTCTTTTCTCCTTCTAGGAACTCTATAATGCATATAGTGTTGCAACTGATAATAGTCCATATGTCCCTTAAGTTACCTTCACTCTCTAACATTCTTTTTTTTTCTTTTTTTTTCATCTGATTGGATGAATTCCACTGTCCTTTCTTTAAGTTTTATGATCTCCCCAGCCTTTTTCTCTGCATGTTGAAGTTTACATAAACTTATGCCTGTGACCTTGTGGAACCAATCCATAGCTCGACCAGGTGGCCAACATCTATCTTTCTTTTCCCTCCCTGCCTCCCTCCCTCCTTCCCTCCCCTCCCTCAATCCCTTCCTTCCTTCCTTTTTTTTTTAATTTGACCAACATTTCCTAAGTGCCCTGTATGTCCAGATACTGGGCATTCAATGGTTAATAAGATGTGATTCCTGCCCTCAAGTTGGCATGTTGATGGAGGGGATTATCCTCTAGGCCAGCGCTTTATACAGCGGTTCTCAACCTGTGGGTCTCGGCCCCTTTGGCGGTCGAACGACCCTTTCACAGGGGTCGCCTAAGACCATCCTGCATATCAGATATTTACATTATGATTCATAACAGTAGCAACATTACAGTTATGAAGTAGCAACGAAAATAATTTTATGGTTGGGTCACAACATGAGGAACTGTATTTAAAGGGCCAGAAGGTTGAGAACCACTGTCTAAGGCAGTGATGGCGAACCTATGACACGCTTGTCAGAGGTGACACGCGAACTCATTTTTTTTGGTTGATTTTTCTTTGTTAAATGGCATTTAAATATATAAAATAAATATCAAAAATATAAGTCTTTGTTTTACTATGGTTGCAAATATCAAAAAATTTCTATATGTGACACGGCACCAGAGTTAAGTTAGGGTTTTTCAAATACTGACA